TTGCTGACTTTTATTCCTAACAATTCAAATATTTTGTATTTGTGACAAGTTAGATTCCTATCCCAAATAAAAAGTTTCACAGACGGAGACAAGTCGAGTTCCACAATGTATATACCTACAAAATATTTAGCATTCTCTATTATATTGTTGGCAATGTATCGATTGTGATAGAAAGAGTTAGAAGTACCTTGGCAATGCAGAAGTGTAAACACACGTGTTGCCGTGCGGCGGACGCACGCACGCGATACGTCGCCCTCGATTATCTGCAGCTCGGCAAAGGCTCGATAAGGGTATTCCATGCAAAAGCGATAAGTGGAAATCGCTTTGGTCACCGCGCAGAAAAAAAAAAAAAAAAGAACGAATCAACAAAGCATCGACAAACGGATGTAACGATTGCGCTTGCATGACACGTGAAAGATCTCCTAATGGTGCTGTCTACCTCGGCGTATTATCGCGGCCTTTGGGAGACGCGGAAAAATATCTTGACGCCGAGCGACCATAATCTCGCAACGGCTGCGTTATAACGCGGACGATGCTACGAGCGGGCTGCTTGCACGGGTGCATCCTATTAACATATTCACCAGCAACGAGTAGTAAACTCTTTTCTCCGCGTACGCGGGCACGAAACGGCGCTATAAATGGTACGTTGATGGGTTTGCGCCGAGCGCGTCAACGCTTGCGCCCCCCGAGTTAGGGGTAGATGCGCATTACAAATGCTAATGGGGAGCGCATAGTAGATGTTCCGCATAGAATACATTACCGTCTCGTTCCTCAGTCATTAGCCACGAAAATACGAAATTTCCTGGGCGCAGTGTGTATACCGGTATCTATCGTGCTCGCGAGCCTGCTAGTTGATGACGACCCAATGGAAGACCGCCGACCGCGGGTGCTTTGAATTATAGATGAGTCGCGAATCGCATTTAAAGTCTTTACAATTGTCGACTTTGCCTTCGTTGATCCGCATCACTATATTCCTCATTTGCTTCTTAATGGGGTAATGAAAATTTGATTAGATAGAGTATTTTGATAAAGGAAATATGTTTTACGTCCTATGTTTTTATTTATAAAACGTACCTTTATATATATATATAATAAAGAGCTAGTCAAATAATAAATTTTTAATAAAGAAAAATTTTACACAGAAAAACAAGTTCTTCTAATCACTTTTGTATCTACCTATTGATGTGAAAAATATTTTAAGAACTTTTTGTAAGTAGTAGTAAAAAAGGTTTTATGATAAGTTGTCTATTCTTTATACATCGCTTTAATAATTACATTGCATAGTGTATATCGTAAATTTGGTGAATAGTTAAGAATATATACATATTATTTTCTTATTATTCTATTATAATTATAGAACAATTATCACATTCATAAATAGTTAATTAATGTTCCATTAAAAAAATATCAGTAATTTGGTAATTTTTTTAGTTTTCAAAAGCGAAATTTTCAGCAGCGTATAAACGCTGTGAGATTACTGAGGGTGGTCTGATGGGAATTTATTGATGAATTAATTACAAGCATGTGCGTGATTCCTTCTACGACGATAACCGCCAGCAATTTTTAATTAACACGTACGACAAAGGGAGCCAAATGACCAGTACTGATCGATTCATCGGAGCGCTAACCATATTCCTTTGGTTATACTTTTCTCTTAGCAAACTAACGCAAAAGAGAAAAATATTCATATTCCTCCAAAATTTCTACAGCATGACATAAAGGAGACTAGAACCGGTTGTCACAGTTTGTGAATAATAATTTTTAGAAAATTGTGTGTCGAGGTAAAATTTAAAAACTAGGTATATACATTATAACATACGTTATAACGTCCCTCAGATATTAAGAGCAAGAAATATTATTTTTAAATACATCATCGTACAAGTAAGTTATTTAATTTTAATTAAAGCTATGAAAATATGACAATTAGCCCCGTACTCATGGTTGATTGTCATACGTTCCAGGATTAATATAATAGTAATATACACAATTTTTATGAATAAGACGTACAGCAAATACAGTTTTTATTTTAACGTCAATTTTAGAATGGATTAAAAAAAAATAATTATAATGTTGATATAAGTATAATAGTTATTTTATTCATAAAATGCGTAATTTGCTTTTCAGCTTTTGTACTATAGTTTCTATGTAAAAAATGAAAGAACATTGGTGTGTCTATATAAAATATTATATCTATAAACATGTTTTCTTAAAAAGAGCCGATTTAAAGAGATTACAATTGATTACTTCATCCTTTTGGATAATCTACATGGTCGTTTTTAATAAGAGATTGTATTTACAAATTTTGTCAGAATAATAATTAATTAACTGCAGCAAAAATATTCTAAGACATTATTTGCAGTGATTACAAGAAAATCGCGACTGATAGTTCTAAAAATTTATCAGACAACAAAATAGGAAATAAGAAAAATTTATTCGCCAACTTCATTTTCTTGAAAGTATTTCTAAATAATATATACAATGCTTTTGGTGCAAAAACCCTTTTGTATAACAAATTAATATTATATCAGTTTAATTTATTTTACAGACGAAAACAAATTTTTATGCCATATTGAATTATAAACGTTTTGACAATCAACTTGATACGATAACCGACCCCGGCTTCCCTACTGTACTTAATACTCAATTTTTTTATTTTTTAAATATTTTATTACATATTTAAATATCTATAATCAATATAAGAATAGCAGGTTTCTATGTAAAGACTATAACATAGCAGAAATGTCATTAAATGCGTAATAAATACTTAATCATCCATCCTCTGACGTAAACGCAGGAACACAGCGTAATATAAGTCAATCTGGAAAGACAGAATCCATGTCATGTTAGAAAAGCAAGAAATCGAGCCGAACGCCAAAAAAACAAGATATACATGATGACATCAGCAACGGAAGTAACAGTAACTGTTTCCGCACGAGAAACGGCGCTCTGCGCGCCCTCAGTCTCGGGATCGTCTGACCTACCCTCTCTTCTACCACTTCGAACGAAGGAAGGAACGAGCCAGACTCCTACCCTCTGCCACCCACTCGCCCCTCCAGCCTGACGGACCACCCCTCCAGTTACCGCTGCCGCCGCCGCCGCTGCCGCCGCCGTCGTCGCCACCACCACCGCGATACATTGCGATACAGGGTTCTTGTCTCCACGCTGCCTACCTACGTGCAGGACCAGCGCTCCACCAAATCCATAGTCCATTACACCCTAGTCTACGAGACGCAGTCACACTACCACCCTGTATCTGTCTGTTCATCCGCCATTATTATTTTTCTTTCATCCATCGCTTGTAACTCGCGCCGTGACACTTTTTCTTTTACCGTCACGCCAATACCTACAATCACCGGCATCATAAACACAACACCATATCACAGGACGCACGCGTACAAACAACCACGCTTACCGGTACACGCTCCCCCCCGTCGTTCTTCAGCGCTCGTTCGAGAGACACCGCTCTGAAAACGAAAAGACGTTCGCGAAAGTGACGTTTTCAACAGTGCGTGACAAGTTCGACGATTGTGACAGGTGCTCCGAAGTGCGTATGTTTAAGTGATTATTTTAGTGTAAAGTAAACGTGAGATCCTTCCAGAAATATACATGTCAACAAATTATAATCTGCCCGGAGAATAGTGTTCGTGTCCGACGGCCAAACGTCTTTTATGGCCTAGCAAGAATACAGAGATTCGTGAGATTTCAAGTGACACTATCCTTCTGAAATCTATTAGTTAACGCTAATTTCATCATCACGCTGAAATTATTTAAATTATTTTAATCGAGATAGAAAAATTATATTCAAAATAAATTTTATTTAGCAATTTAGTGATTAATCCCGGTACACATCAAGACCGATTTATTTTATGTCCTTAGAAATTGAATAATAAACGCTGATTGATATCTGGTTTGTATCTATCGAGATAAAAGGATATTTTGAAGCAGCTGCGACAAACTCTAGATAATTCGATTGACAGGATAAGCGCGCACCTGATACCCTGCGTAGTCTCTCGTATATCTCGATTTCTTCTCACCGTTTAATCGACTTACTCACCGAATCGTGTTTTATCCTTTTCTCTTGAATACTTGCTTGTATATACCTCGCCGCAACACGATTAAATTTCTAAGAGCACAAGCGACGTTTATCCAAATTCCAACACATTGTCCTACAAGTGAGAAATGATCTTTATATGAACAGACAGCTCCCTCGTTGTTACCAACTTCCGTGTTAACATATAAATAAACTTGATAATCTAAGAATTTGCGTGTTCGCGACGCGCGTTGCCTACTTAAAATTCACGGCGTTGAGATTTCACAAAAACTTCCGGCCCGATATTGACAACGAAAGGGGGAAAGTAGTTGAACTGAAGCTAGTACGAGCCACGTGAAACTGGTCGCTACTTCGCCGGGCCATACAGATCCCGGAGGCTTGAAAGCCCCTGATTTCCCGCGCACAGCAAGAGCGAAGCACACACAACCACCCCAACCAACCAACCGACGAGTCGACTCACCGCCACCAACCCCTACACACAACAACCCAACGAAGCATCCCCCACTCTGAATCGCACAACAGCCTGAGCGGAAGTGCTAGTCAGTCGGCGAGCGACCTTCCAACATTACGGGTTAGGTTCCCTCTTTTTCCACCCGTCGTGTCTTTAACCTCATTTGTACGATCGCGAGGACCGGCCGCTTTGTTTGATTTACCCGTGAAGGAAATAGAGAAAGTCGCCGCAATTAAGGGTGTTGATCCTCTTACAAAGATCGGAAGTAACCGCCGCTTTTTATTTCATATGTCATTTGCGCGGCGATAACGTTTAATTAGATTTCTATGATCCATACCTATCATATTTGAAAGATATTTAAAGCAGCGTTAGAAGGAATAAAAGAAGGTGCTACTTGAACGATCAGTGATTATCGTTCTTCCAATTGTGCGTGTACCGCGAACCTCGTGTCTTTTCCCGCAGCGCGTTCGTAAGCTGAAACCTTTGTGCGACGCGTGCGATTGCGAGTGTTGTTCACCATAGTCTAGTCATCATCAGGAAGATTTTAATAGGTTTTAATAACAAATAACATGCAATTGCAAGTTGCGAGATACATACAGTAGGCACACATGCTGCAGTATCTTCAATCATAAAGCGGGAACACACGTTTTATGACTTATATTGCCGAATGACACAGGGCTCCCAAATAGATTGCTTCGTTACAGACCCAAACAGATTGCTAAGACTGAAACACATGCGCTGCTGGCTCTAGGAAGACATCGTCAGTTTGCCGAGTTATATGCAATACGACGAAACGTGTTCAACAATTGCACTGTCACAAACGTAATTGAGTTTCGGAGCCTATTCTCTATAATTTAATATTTAATTATTGTTAATGCGACAGTTTGGCTTGAGGATTCACTTTAAAAGAAAGAAGAAATTATTTTGACAAGAAAAAATATTGCAAACTTTTCTAATTGCGGTGACGTATACACACAAAAAAATAAATATTTTACGATCCAACAACTATACCGGCACTCTTACTAATATAGATTACCCAAGTCGACCACGTGGCCGTGAAGTGAGCGTCGACTGCGCCAAGAGTATGCGGTAAACACATTCCACAGGACAAAATTCGATAAAATCTAGTATATTCTTCAAAACATTTCCTAGAAAATTGTGACAAACGTAAAAGGTAGTTCTCAACACAATCGCGTCATTTTGTGGTAAACAGCGGTGCTAACACAATTTAAAAGCAGAAAACATCGGTGATTAAATTTGTTTGTTAAAACTCATCTTTTCTCACCACAAAGCTGCAGCGAGAACTGTGATTTTCCACTAATTTATTTAAAGTAAGCAACCAAATACGTGAGTGTCGGTGTTGTGATATATATATTTAAAAGGCAAGTCGAAGTGAAGCGATTCAAGCTTTCTCTGTTGATTGTTATCGCTTGATCCAAGAAGATTTGGAACAGATCAAGAATCAACGTACGCCACGCGCAAAAGTTCAGAGTAAATCGCCCCAAGTTAACAACAAAGTAGCAAAATCCCACCCGCAGGCAATCGTGAGTTTAAAGAAGCCCAAGTTGAGGTTGTTCAGCCCGGCTCAACGATCGACGTCAACAGGACGTATCAACAAGCCCCCCAACAAGGAGGGTGGGTGCAGTGGTGCAGTGGTTGCCGGAGGGCCAGCGAGCTTGGGGTGGCCTCGTCCACAGGCGCCTTGGCACCGAGCGCACCGGGCCCCGGGGCTGCGGTGGTGGGTTGCCTGGTTGGGGTGTACCCGTGTTCTCCCTCCTCCACGGGGCCCAGGGGCCCCCTAACTCATCATCTCCAGTCTATCCCGAATCAGCAACAGTCGATCGGCTGCCGTGCCTGTTGCTGCGTGCATAACAATCATCAACCAACTTCGGTCCAGCTTACCAGTCAACGGGGCGGTCTATCGCTGAGGGTAGCGAGGGTGGCGTCCACCACCTCCGTCCGAGCCGCCCCCTACGCCCACCCCCAGCACCAGGGGCTGGGGCAGGAGTGCAGGTAATGATAAATTATTAAACATACATTGTAGCTTCACTTCGACACGTATTACTACCCCCTACTACTACTACTACCACTACTAGTACCACTACCACTACTTCTACCTCTACTACTACCACTACTACCAATACTAGTGCTACTGCTACGCTTCTACTCTGCTCGTCGTCGTCGTCAGCAGTACTTGACAAAAGTAACATAATAAAAGTAACGATACACGTAGTAGCACATCAAATATTAAGAAAAAAAAAAAAAAAAACAATAAACACGGTTGATGGAGTAAAGAAAGTTACCCAAAACCAAAAACGCACGAAAAAGGTGTAGGGAGGAGACGGGGGCATTGGGTGGAGGTGGTGCGCACATCCTCGGCAGCCCGATGCTGTTCGTCCCGTTCACGGTACCCACCTTCCCTGCGACGCATCATCAGACGACTCACCCTGCGCACCAGACGCATCATCAACAGCTGCAGGCCAACACCCAGAATCCGGTGCAACAACCGCAACAGCTCACCCAGTTGAATCAGCTGAGCCATCTGAATCATCAGGGCATCGTGCCGGCGACAACCAATCAGCCGACTATACACAGCACCAGCTGTTCGCCGCAGCAACAAGCAACGACACCGAATAAGGTAAACAAAATTATTCGATTGCTTGATGCAGCTTGATACGCAAACAAAATATTCTGAAAATATCGGAGAACGTCGACTTGATGGGGAAATTCATTTTGTAAAAAGTTATCATACCGCGGAAAATATCATAATAATAACAACAGTATTGTTGAGAATTACGCTTTTAATATATATGTTAATTACATCAAACACGCACATACGTGTGCATTAGGAAAAGAACGTTATTATAATAACATGCAATTGCATAGAAAGAAAAATAATAGTTGATTATCATGTAACAATATAATTTTCTGCACGTAAGCAAGTCGACATTAATTGAGCAAAATGCTTGCTTGATTTTATGAATCTCGAGCTTATTGTTAATTTTATAATACAATGAAACGTTTTCAAGTTTCTTGATTGTATCAATATACATATCTGTCTTATTGTACTATTACATAAATAGTACCAATAAAATTGCTTATATAATTTATAAATGATACTGCTGTAGGATGACATCGATAATATATGTATTAATAATAGCAATAATAAAAGGAATACAATATTACGTGACTTTCGATATTAATGCCAGCTTAATATCACACAATATCATTTTATCATTGCGTTATTATAATTTTATTAAGTAACGCAAATATAAAAAATTTAATTTTCTTCAATCAAACATAAATAATCGTTGACAGTAAAAAAACATCATTAAAACGATTAAGTAACAACTGTTTGTCATAGAGAATAAAATGTGATAGCCTAAACGTCATATATCTATAGATAATAATTATATTCAGATCTGATCTGTTTACTAAATTACTTTTAGATAAAATATTTGATATTTTATCGTGTCTATTTCCAATTTTTACATTCAATATTTAAAAGTTGGGACATACAATATATAATCATAGTAGATACTTAACAAGTATAAACAAGCGAACTGTTTCAATCAAAATACGATATCTATATCACGTTTAATATCGTTCGTAATATCGGTATTGCGATACAAGTTTCGAAGCTCACTAATAGATATTTATTAACATTAAGGCCGACAGCCACGATCTATAATCTATATAACGAGGCGGATTCTCCTTCTAGCCGTTCCACGAACTTGAACGACCCTTTTCCTTACCGGTATCGCTTATGGTGTCGGGATTGTTTCTTCATTTTTCTCGCCCGCGCTTCCTCGCAACCATGCGCTTTTATTATCCTGGCGTAGATTCAAGTCAATTTTCTTTAGCAAGCCATAACTCGCCGGAAAATTCTCCCGAGAAGTACGGCGGCCGATGCGCCATAGTACGAGCAAGACGTCACGATGTTGGCAGAGGGAACGCGGTTTAATTCTTGAAGTCTGGCAATCCACGGGTGGTGCTTCCTTTTCCGGGGGTTCGACTCCGTGTAGTTCCTGAAGCTGTAGTTTGGAAAGATCTTCAACCTTTCCACTCTTGGCGCCGATACGCCAATGAGAAGGAAATACGTATCGCGCGAATTATTAATTATAATGTGCTGGATTATGTGAGATATATTATACAATCGTATTTTATAAGATCTATTTACAAAATATAATATTAATTTGTTGTCCATTAATTAATATTGTCCAAAAATTAAAAAATTAATCTTCTATTATTTTCATATATCTTTTTTAAATATAAACTAAAAATATATTAATTGCTGTGAAACAGCAATTGGAGAAATGTAAGATTTAATTTGTAATTTTAAACAAAACTTGTATTACATAAAAAAAATTTGTTCGTGTTTGAGAAATCTCGTTATAAGATTTTGTTAAGTGATAAAGAAAAATTGACAGGTCCTAAATTAATGAAAACATTTGTGTATGTATTTAACGTGCGCTATGCGAAACGTTTGATCAATAAACGATGTGTGAAGTGACTCTTACGTCACTCTATGCATATTACGGTGAATATGCTATACATCTATTTCCATTATGCCGCATGTAAGTACGCGTCGTGTAATGCACGTGAAAATGTCGCTGACTTAATATACGTAGCAAAAGTCCAACACACATACACTATTACGAGCAACGTTTACGCATTACATATGTGTATATGTACTATATAATTTACATAACGGTAATGTATACTCTGTTGTATATATATATATGGTGTTATATATGCGCGAGCCACGACATCCGTATGTATTACAAATTCGGAGTGTCTACACGTGACTGTAAAATGTGTGTTCACGTTCTGTGTACACCGCTTCTTGAACTGCACGTATAAATTTCTATAAGCTAGAATACCTGAATGTGCTGAAAAGATGAAACGTTAACTTTCTACGACTTTTATTCAGGCAAAAAGTTAAAGAGCTTACTTTATACAGAATTTATTGTCAGCTATGTTATTAAAACAAATAAATTGTTAGAACATATTGTAAATCATCTTCTATTTTTAAATGTATTTACTTTTATTAGTATAAATAACGACATTTTATTTCTAAATCTTTATAACTATATATTAAGTGCAATTAAAAATTTACACAATCCATTTTTAATTAAAAATTAGACATAGTTGTAGTTATCAGCTGTAATTCCATTCTTATCTCAGATACAAAAAGAATGTAATTACAAACATATGATGCCATTATATTCTTTTAATAATATATAAGAAGAAATACGATAACACCTGTTGCCAAAAATTTATCATGAATATTTAATCATGATTTAATAGCATTACATTTCTTATTAAGGTAACTTATTAAGTAAACATTTCCCAATACGTCTCATAAATTTCTTACGAAATATATCCATATGACGTTTTGTACACAATCATCTCGTATTTTATACGTAGCTATTATATTCTTTCTATTCACACAATGATCTCTATTAATTTCGTAGACAATAGAAAAAAATATAAGCAAGATTTAAAAAATGTTAAAAATTGTTACATCTATATATAAATTTGTGTGTTATATTTAAATATTTATTAATTTTACTTATCAAACATTATTCATATTATAAACTGTTTATAATATGAATAATTAAATAATATAAATTGTTTATACATATATAATAAAAAACCGATCATAATTATCGTCAACGAAGGGAAATTCGTGAGGAAGTATCTCTGTAAAATAAGCGGAAGGCACTTTCTCATCCAATAAAGGGTTACAACTTCGCAGGTAGGCCTTTACGAAAGATGCCAAGTACGAAGAGCAATGAGGGGAAGTGGGGGAAAATACCAGAATTTCTAAAGCGAAGGAAATAGCTGCTGGGGGGTGGGGATGGGAGGCAGGAAGACTTTGAGAGTTGTTCGCGTAACTTTATTAATTAAAGGCCGTTAGTCCTTGTTGCTCGATACACCTTATATAGCCGCCACGGTCATGGTTCTCTCGTACAAAGAACAAGCTTCTTGTCCCTTTCCCTCCCCTATGTTTCTTGGTGTCTTCGTCACGCGCTTATCCGCGTATCGATCATCGTCACTGTCCACTAGTAAATAGTGCTTTGCGCATTATTCCTTTTTATGTATTATATATTATTGACTTTTTTCTCGTAAACAATCTCTCTTTTAATACATTTTAATCAGCCTTTCTCTTAACTTCATGTGATGAACGTAAAATGTGTAATTATTATAATTTTATTTTCGAGTAAAATAACAATAAACAATAAATTGTAATAACCATTAAACAATATAAATTATTAAATAAACAATATGTTTGATAATAACATAACAATATCGATGCTGGAAATGTTAACTATAACTTTAACAACGAAGTGATTATTGAACTTTTGTTTGAATTATATGGTTTAAGTTGTGTAATTATTAATTAAACAATTATTTTATATAAGCACATTCTGTTATGCCAGTAAGTTGGAAAATTATAGAATGCAGCAAACTCTCATTAAGTGTACACTAGTTATAATTATCGCAGAATAATTCAGCGACACAAGTAGGAGAAACTGAATTTCTGAGAATATTTGTGGACATTCTTTCCAATTAAAAATTGTCTAAATGTTTTATTTATGTAATATGACTCCTTTTGCAAAAAGATTGCAGCGCTAATCTATGTATAGTTTTATATATATTGATTTACTAATTTATTTTTATTATAATTGATGAATGCAAAGTTTTCGAGAGAAAAACTATTGTAGGACTCTTTTAAAAGTTACAATTTTGTAATTACGAAACTTTTCTTATAGGTGCCAAATTGTTTTTCAATTTAGTGACATTTTCATAATTCATTCGTTTAGCCGTACAGAAAAGATAAAATATAGACTGTGCGTATTATTTTATCTACGTTGCTTTCTTTTCCTCCTCACGTGTGATCAAATGTACAGTTACATCATCCTATAGTGTCATGATTCAATGTGATATCGCATGTCCATGAAGTGTTAAACTGAAAGACAAGTACTGAGCGTTATCGAGGATTCTTTTTATCCGTATCATGTAAAAGAAAAAGGCGACTCATTCGCACCACTTCATCGTCTTATGTCCTCCGCGTTGCCTCTGACGCAATAGCTACGACATCCATCATCGTCACCATCTATTGCCGTTTTTCGCGCAAAGGAAGTATCTCACGATTCCCGCGCAATATCACACCGCGTACAAATTCTTTTTACGTTGTGCAACGCTTACTTTACGTTCTAAGTCCCGTTAGCACCTGCTCCTGCGCGGGAAACTTTGTGTGAAGAAGATAATTATGAGTCGGTTGGCAAATGTAATGAAAAGAGTAACAAAGACGTATCCAACAAAGGATAACCGGTTAGCACTTGTCATAATTAGAAAATTTCTTTTTGCATGATAAAAATGCGTTGCGGTAAAGAAGTGCAGAAGGAACTCGTTATGGGGGTGTGTGTGTGTGGGGTTGGAATGGGCCGTGTGTATCTTGCCTAACCTACCTGTCTGCGCGGAGACGCGACTGAAGGGTGCTGGCAGAGCCGGGTGTAGGGTGAGCGGGACATTCGCGATGGGTGGCGGGAACGGCCACGCGTTTTCAAGGGAAAGCAACGCGGAGGTTGCCGGCGATGGCCAGGGGGTGTGCCGCACGGGGAGAAGATC